AGGGTTTTTTTGTAAGATGATGAAAATGCTCTGGAGTGAAATGGTGGTTGCACAGCACTGTAAATCTACTTAGAACCTCTGTACTGTTTATTTTGGCATAGTTAAAATAACCAACTTTGTCACAAATTTTCTCAATTAAAAAAGAGAATATAGTAGTAATGTATGTAATATGAACCTTCAAAGTTGTTTTTAGGTGCCACTGAGTACAACTCATAGTTACCTCATGAACAATAAATCTGAATCCTGTCCTGTGCCATCCTCACAATCTCTGACATACTTGAGCCCAATCCAATTATTTCTGGTTAAGGGTCTTCCTCTCTTTCGCTGACCCTCCACATTTCCAAGTACAATGTCCCTCTCCAAGTAATAGCATCTCCTAGCAAACACGCCCAAAGTATGTGAGACAAAGCTTTATCATCTTTGCCTCCCAGGAGCACTCTGGCTGCACCTTCTCCAATGCATTATTTATTATTTTGCCAATCTATGGGATATTCAGTGCCCTTCTCCAACACTACAGCTCAAAGGCATCAATTCTTGCAGATGCACAGCAAGTCACTGAAAAGATCATAGCTTGAATCAGGTGCATGTTAGTCCTTAAACTGACATACATCACTGCTCCTCAATAATTTGGAGAGGTCTCATACTGCAGACTTTTCCAGTGCACTACGTCTCCTATCTCCTAACTGCTGGTACCAAGGTTATTGATTGTGGATCCAAGCAATATGAAGTCATTGACAGTCTCAATCTTTTCTCCATCCATCATGATTTTGCCTATCAGTCCAGTGGTAAGAATGTTTTCTTGACAGTGAGATGCAAGTCACATTGAAGAACACAGTATTTAACCTTCTATAGCAAGTGCTCCAAGTCCTCTTCACTTTCAGCAAGCAAGGTTGTGTCATCTGCGTAATATAAGTTATTCATGGATCCTCATGCCACCTTCTTCATATTGTCCAGCTTTTTTAATAATTTGCTCAGCATAAAAACTGCATAGGTATAGAGAAAGGATAAAACCCTGCTGCATACCTTTCTTAACTTTAAACCACATAGTGTTCCCTTGCTCTGTTAACACAACAGCTTCTTGGTCTAGGTATAGGTTTTGCATGACACAACTAAGTGTCTGGGAATCCCATTCTTCTCAATATTAGCCATAATTTGTTATAATCCACAGTCAAATGCCTTTGCATAGTCAATAAAGCATAGACAGTCTTCTGTTACTCTTTGCTTTCAGCTAGAATCAATCTGACATTAGCAATGATATCCCTAGTGATTAAGCTAAATGAAAGAACTGTCACAAAAGATAGGGGTATATGCATTGAAAAACAAGGAACTCATGAAATATTATACAAAATGGGTGACCCTAGAGGACATTATGCTGAGTGACATATCTCAGTCACAAAAAGACAAACATTGCCACAAATAGGGCCACTGTTGTAAAATGAGACTGACATCAGGGTTAAGGGAAGACTGAGAAAGAGGGGATAAATAATGTATACTGCATTGAAACAGATGAGGGGAAAAAAGTAAAAGAAAAGGGGAGCTCTGGTGGCCTAGTGGCAAGAAGCTGCACTGCAATCCCAGAGGCACACAGTTCGAATCCACCAGATGCTCTGCCAGGAAGGAGTCAGATCTGATTTGAAGGTACACACAAATAATAAAATAAAATTAAAAAGTAAAAGAAACAGATGAGGGAAAGAACTGTTTAAAAGGCATATATGATTAGGTATTATTGTCATGACAGGAGTCCAGAATGAAGGCTGCACACGGAGTGGATTTGGGGGGAGGGACTATATAACAATGAAACAATTTTTCTTTTCTTTTTCAAAGAGAAGAGTGAATTAGTGGGGAGGGAGTGGGCAGGGAGAAAAGTGCAACAATGAATGAATGGAAACCCTAAGTCTCTGTAAACTTTAATTAATTTTTAAAAATGCTAAAAAGTAAAATGGGGGGGAAGATAGGGGTATATGATTCCTCCATGAAGTTTCTTTTAGAATGACAACACAAAACTGGTTCTTATGAGGTAAAGGTTAAAGATGTCCCTAATGTCAAACTTTTCTGAACCGCTGTATGTAACCAACATTTCTAACATCAACTCGCCTCTTCCTCCAAGTACTGTCCTGTAGTCTTTGGATTCCATAATTTATCACTGCTATACACAAATCACAAACCATCATGGACCACCAGCATCACAAACCAACTGGCTCATCCAGTTGTGGAGACTGAAAAGTCCTAAATTCTTGGGTCAGTAGATGCTGAAAGAAACATTATATAACCATCAAACCACTATTATGGCCTGTTCAAGTTGACACACACATTAACCATTACAGGTTCCATATACTTCACTGAGGCAGCAGTAAGCTCACTCCTTGCTGGACAAGCATCTTATTTGCACAGTCTCACACAGTCACTGCATAGGTATCATAGACTATTGGTGGAAAGACCAGACGAATTCACTGAACCACAATTCTATTGATACAAAATGTCCAGAATTAGCAAATTTGAGACTGAAAATAGTGAAGTTATTCACATATATTGGACGTATTGTTAGGAGAGGCTATTCCTTGGAAAGGGACATCATGCTTGAAAAGATGGAGGGTCAAGAAGAGGAAGATCCTCAAAGAGATGGATAAAGTGTGTGGCAATGAGCTCAACTGTGTTGGGGATAAAGTAGCACACAAACACAGGGTTCAGAGCTGTTGTTCATAAGGTCACCTAGAGTTGTACTTGACTTGATGGCACTTAACAATAAAACTAGATGAGAGTCTATGCATAGGCTGAAGGGTGACAACTAAAGGAAGGGTATGAAGTTTCTTTTGGGGGTAATAAAAATGCTCAAAATCTATTGCAGTTATACAATTCAGTGAGTATACAAAAAAACCCTACTGAACTGTACATACTGTAAATGGACAAACTATATGTGAATTATACCTCCATAATATTGTCACAAAAAAAGGAAAAACAAAGCAACAAAATAGTGGTAATGACTGAACTCCATAAATTTACTAATGATCACGGAATTGTTCCCCTACAATGAGTGAATTTTATGATATATAAATTGTATCATAAAAGGCTTTCTTTTTTAAAAAAACAACTAAGAAATAGTAAGTTGGTGTGAAATGGGCTCTCAGATCTCAAATAAAAAGTGAAGATTAGGGGGAGCTCTGGTGGCCTAGTGGCAAGAAGCTGCACTGCAATCCCAGAGGAACACGGTTCGAATCCACCAGATGCTCTGCCGGAGAAGGAGGCGCAATATCCTCCTGTACCAGTCAGATCTGATTTGATGGTACACGCACACAAAATAAAAATAAAAAAAAAAAGTGAAGATTAGAAAACATTTTAGTAACATAAAGCAATGTGCCAACCTATCTGCCCCTAAAGAAGCAGGAGGAAGGAAAACAGTTGAGAGATAAGCAGAGAACTTTTCAGCGGAGACAAAGGGTCATCTGCCAGGAAAAAAAAAAGAGGGAATGATTACAGCAGAGCTGATGCAGCTCAAGGATGCAGTCATTCCCAGGTATCATGATGGAGAAAATGGTTTTTTACTTTTCAGAAAGGTGAGGTGAGTTGTGCCTACCAGAAGGGGTTTAGGGTGTGTATACTTTTTTCTATTCTTTTTACAAACCATTTGTGTTCAATCTTTCCACCTGGATCACCAAAGACCAAATCCCTGCCTGAATTATCACATATTGTAACCTCTTTGAAGTTTGTAGCACGTGGGGTTGTTAATAATTTGAACTCATCCCTTAGCCACCCAGTGGATGATTTTACTACACAGCAACTGCTACACAGCCTTTTTTCTCTTGTCTACTCAAAGGAATGTCTGTGATCCTAACATCTGTCCTCTCCTTCACTGGACTCATTCCTATACTGGGGCTCCTTAGTGGATAGTTTGATGCCAGCACTGTACATGTGGCAGAATTGTTCGAACAAATTCCTGACTGACCCTCCAGTGGGTTTTCAGAAGCAGTAAATTTCATTGGAGGAGACTTCCCATCTTTCTCTGCAGAGCAGCTGGTGGATTTGAACTGTGCATGTTTGAGTTGGTAGTGCAACTCCTGACTACTAGAGCTCCTTATGAGAGAGTTGTGGTGGGGAAGAAAGGGGGTTTGGGAATCATATGAGAATTAGATTAATACTTATGACTTTAAATCCAGAAAAATCAATGGGACAGGTGGAACTTTGTGTAAGATGCACAAGTTGGTCTACTAAAAGGCAATACAGGTTGGGAAGCTAGGGGAGCTTCCCAAGAATTGAAGGATGAAGGATGTTCTGGAGCAAAAGGACAAAGAACAAGTGGGGACACACTTGTGTGATTTTAGACAGAGAAAGGAGTAATAATGAAAGCCATAATGATCAGGAAAGGAGTTAGGAGGACACTCAGGACTCCTAGAAAAAGGATCACAACCAACAAAGGTGGAGGGATCTAAAAATAGGACCTGGTCCTAGAAACCTTCTCTTTTAGTCCCATGCTAAAAAAAGTCTTTCTCCTTCAAGTGTGCCTGTCCTGTAATACCGGTACTTGCCTTTTCAGCTCTGTTATCAGCTACAGAAACTCAACATATTTCCCTGCAAAATAGCATGTGAGATAATAGAAGTGATTTGGAAAGAGTGAATTCAGAGAACTCCAAAGGTTCTTGAGTGAAGCCAGGCTTGGGTAAGATGACTGTGCCTGGTGAAGAGGGCTGAGTCTTTCACCTCCAATCCTAATGGGATAGTAGAGGTGCCCCCACATCTCAAACACACGTATTTATGTGATTACTTTATTCCACTTTGGAGCCCGGCTCTTAGTCCCTCACATGCATCTTTGGTAGGATCAGGGATCAGACCCCACTGTGAGTCTGAATTACAAGACAGTGAAGTCCCAATGCCAGGAGCCGCTGGTTGCACGGTAATAAAAGGTGTAGCCCAGCATCTCTTGCAGATGATTCAGCACCCATACTCTCCAGGCTACACTGTTCTCCAGCTCTCAGCAGCCAGGAGCCAGCTCCTGCAACCTGAGCTACCTCTGCCAGGTCAGAACTAGCTGTCTGAACCAAGAGCTCACAGCACCATCCACTCGCATCACCAAAGCTATGCCCAGGAGAAGTCCCACGCTGCTCACAATGAAGCCCATAGCCTCAAAAATAAACCTGCAAAGAAAAGATGGAGAATCTCAGGAGATACGGAGGTAGATCTTTAGCCTCTTCTCTGCTCAGGCAAAATATTGTGTATCTTCACAAGCAAATCCACTCACTTGGGGGCAAATACCTTCCAGACCATGAGATGTCTCCGGAGGATAGAAGCTGCCAAGGTGCAGGCTTGGATCTAAGGAAGGAGAGGAGGAGCCAAGTTACTTGAGAAGAGGAAGAGGATGAAGGACAAAAAATGCAGTAGCCCTGGGAAGAATGTGGAGAGGAGGAAAGCAGTGAGTGTCAAAGGGAAAACCCCTGTGCGAGGAGTGAGGGGCCCAGTGTTTGTCCTGATCTAATCACTGACTCACTGTGTGGCATTATGGAAGAGCCTATCTTGCCTTCTAGGATGAAGATAATCAGCACCACATCTGCTACTTCTGGAAGATAAGAGGAAGTATAACCACAGCTTGGGAAAGACGCCTGGCCATAGCCTTAACTTTTCCAGTCTGTGCACTGATGAAGCAACCTCCAAAAGCAACCAGCAGAGTCCACATCTATGGTGTGCTGTAAAGAGGAAATGACTTAAAACTATGATTCAGGAGACCCAGCTTCATGTCTCAATTGCCATTAACGTCTGGTGGCTTTGGGTAATCACTTCACTTATCTGAACCTCAGTGAAGCTTCCCTTCTTGGGTTTTAACAAAGTAAAAAAAAAAGAGAGAATGGGATGTACACACCTGAATACCCAGGACAAAGAGGTACTTGAGGCCCAACTGCAGCAGCGCTGCACTGAAGTGGTGAGGTGCATCCCGGAGCCGCATCTCCATCAGCGGCTCCTCCTTTTCCTCCTCAGGCCCAATTTTGGTCTCAGCTTCATTTCCTGGAGTCTGCCGCTTCTTCTGAGGTCCATGACTCTCACACAGGAAGGGCCAGAGCAGGAGCAACGGGCAACCTACTGTCTCAGAGGAGGACAGGGCTGGAGTCATTGAAGGACTCATAGACCATGCTGGCTGGTTCAGACTCCAACTAGCCTAGGTTAAGGGGTACCAAAGATCCACTATCTTCACTCAAATTCATAGGCTTCCTTTCCTTCTACAAACTCAGAGTAAGCAACAGGATGGAAAAGGAGGTACCTGCAAATAGGAGATGAGAGGCAAAGGTGTTGGCTCCCACCAGCAAAGCAGGAAGCCAGAAGGAGGAACCATGGCCCTCTGGGAATCCTACGAAGGCTGCATGCCAATGGATGGCTGGAAAGACAGGCTGGTGGCCCGTGGAGTAGAAGGTCTGTGTGGCCATGAGGGCCCAAGCAGAAACTGCCTTCCACGGTACAATAAAAGGACCTAAGGGAAGAAATATGTTTCTTTACAGTTAGAGTAGGTTTACTGCACTATGATCACACACTCCTAAAACTCAGTGTTAACTCTCGCACACATGCCCTTCACCCCATCCCCATCCTCCCTACAGTCAACAATTCTAATTCCTTCAGTGGCACAAAGCTCCATCACCTTAACCTGAACTCCCCTGTGACCAGACTCTCTCATATTTATGCATAGCTTCCTAAGTCATTCATTACACTTACAATTAATATGTGTTATCTCGATACAGAATGTCACAGTATGTTCTATGACTATCTGTAAGTGGGCATTGCCATCTTACCATTACACATTTCCCCCCCCCTCCCCCATTACACACTCTTAAGGCACCACTCCTACACTGGGAATCACTGGAATCCAGTATTACCAAAACTGAGTTTTGGAAAATCTGTTTCCCTCCTTATGAGCCTTACTAAGCCTTGGAAGACAGCAAGAGATCAATTAGTCTGGACAGCAAATTAAAGGACATCAGGAAGACATCCCCAAATGGAGCACAAACACCTGTGCCAAAGTGAGAAATCTGATGAACTCTACTTTTATGAAAACAACAGGGGCTGAACTCATGCCACTATCACTATTGCTCTCAGGTGAGTCAAGGTGGATATGTATTTACCAGGGGTGGTGACAGGTATCCCAGCAGCAAGCAGATGCAGGAGCAGGAAGCTCTGCAGAAACAGAAGCAGGAACACAAGGCTGATGCGCTCTGCATGCAACAGCAGAAGTGGGAAGGCCAATAGGATGAGGGCTGTGACCATGGCAGCCGAGTAGACGCTCCCTAGCTGATAAGCAGCCACAGTCAGGAGGCCCTGAGGGTTGGTCCTCTCTAGCTGGCCCCCGAACACTTCCTGCATGTGTCGGTAGATTTGAGGTACTACATAATCCAAGTCAGCCTGAGAAGTAGGAGGGCCTGAGAAGGGAGTGAAGATAGTCCTGGTTCTTGGGGCACCTGTCCCAGCCTTTACCAGCACGGTCACAGGCCTCCAGAGTAGCAACATGAGCCCTGAAGCGGCCAACCCTGCCACGGCCCGAGGCAGCACAACTGTTGCCCCAGCCACCAGGGCCCGAAGACGTGGAGGTGCTTCATCTGCCCCTGATGCCAATGCCCAGTAGGCTGCAGTGCCCAGGGTCATGAGGGGCAGTCCCCAACGTACAAAGAGCACAGGAGGTGCAGGGCTCCTGAGATTACCATAGCGGCGAAGCCACAGGCGTACAGCAGCCAAGAGGGCCACCAGTGCCCCCACACATGCTCCATACCACAAATTCTTGGCTTGCCCGCCCACCATGGATGCCAGAGGATTCAGCCAGGGAGAGGACTGGCAAGCAGGTGTCTCTTCAGGACAACGATGAAAGAGTCCAGCTAGCCTGGTACATAAAAGCAACCCAATTCCATGTCCCAGGGCATGCATACCATTGTGACGTGGGGTACCTGATGGAGTTAAAGGACCAAATCGGGGTATTGCTAGCACCTTAGGTGGCAGGAGTTGACCCTCCCATTGAAGCTGAGCAATCAGGAGCAAGATGAGTGAGCCCAAAAGGAAAGGGGTGGCCCTAGCCTCAGCTATAACAAAGCTATCGGAGAAGAGGGCAGCCCAGCGAAGGAGCAGGAGGAGCAGGACAGGCCGAGGAATGGGAAGTAGTGATGCCAAGGGCCTCGTGGTCTCCCAGCCAGTCCAAGCTTTCCACAAAAAAGGCAGGAGTGAGCCTATTGCAGCTACTGCTCCTAAAATCACTGGATCCAGCTTCAGATCAATAGTTACCAGGAGTCCAGCATATATTAAGGCCCCAACCAGACCCCAGGCCACTGATCTCAGGAGTAGAGGGCAGAAAGGGAAGTCTGGAGATGTTGTCCACTGGGATGCCAGCAGGCAGAGAAAGCAGGCAGCAGTCAAAATTGTGGCACCCCCTGCCATGCGGACCAGTGAAAACTGAGCCCAGGACTTGATGCACATGGCCCGAGCTCCCCGTAGGAATTGCTGCAACTCAGCAATCACAGTCTTGAGTGTTGCCTCTGTGCCTTGGGGGTTCTGCTGAAGGTGCTGGTAGTCAGCAGAGGCCTTGGAGAAGAGGTTCTGCAGTCGCTGAAGTTCCTTAAATTGGAGATCCTGAGTAACTGCTGAGTAGGTGTGAAGAAACCTGGACACCTGGCAGAAAAGGTCAGAGACCAAAGAGGACAGGTTAAAGGTAAAAACAGCTATTATAAAAAGGGAGATCCTGTTCTAGAGAAAAGGGAGGAATTATGACAGGAGAACATGGCTAAGGAAGGTGAGAATAAGACTGGACAAAGGGCCATGGAATGAGCCTACTCTGTCCCTGTCACCTGAAAGCCCAGCCCTTTACGTACCTGCTGGGCATTGAGGTGGAGAGCCGAGGCTTGGGCCAGAGCAGAGGAGTGGGGCTGGGAGTTATTGCTTCCTGAGAACAACTCCGTTATCACCTCCCCAATGTTCCCAAATGGAATGGGCAGGCCCAGCAGTAGTGCCAGTGTAGGCACAAGGCTGACCTGAGGGACCACCTCTGGCTCCTGGAGGCAAAGAGCAAGGTTAAAACACTCACAACAGAGCTGTACTCAGCATTGGGAATGGAAGGTGTTGAGGCTGAGATAGGAAGCCAGAACAGGGGATGCTGATTCATTAATTGGAGGCTAAAACGAAGGAGTCCATGATTATGATCATGATTTGGGCTGGATACCTAGCACCTGGTGAGGGGACAGACAAGGGACACCCGTCTTACCTCTGGCATGGTGCTGGGGAAGAGAGCTGTGGGGCTGTACAGGAAGAGCGCAGCTGAGACTTCCAGCTCACTTTCCCCTCCGTGATCCCCACTCATGGTCATCCCATGATCCCCAGTCACAACCAGCAGTGTGTCATTTTCCAGATGCTCCATAAGGTTCCTAGGGGCCAAGAAACATGTCAGGGAGGACACAACGGACAAAGATTTTTTCAGAAATTCATTCATTCTCAGTCTTGACTTCCATTACTCGGATCTTTGCCTTTGAACACCCCATGGCTCTACTGTCCAAAGTTAAAAGTGGACAAGGTACCGAATTTAAGAAAAAAAGTCAAGAAAAAGACTTCAAAGGGAGCTCTGGTGGCCTAGTGGCAAGAAGCTGCACTGCAAGCCCAGAGGTGCGTGGTTCGAATCCACCAGATGCTCTGCTGGAGAAGGAGGGACAATTTCCTCCTGTACCAGTCAGATCCGTTTGATGGTACACACACAGAAAAGAATAAATAAAAAAGAAAAAGACTTCAAGACAAGGTCTTTTTCTCTATGGGCCATATTTAATGAGGTTCTCAGACACAAATCTCCTACCCAAGCCAACTCCCTACACTCACTGGATCACCTGGTCCATCTGGCTAAGTTTCTTGGCCATTTCAGGGTGGTGAGGGCCATGTTTGTGGCCACAGTGGTCCACACCCAGGAAGTGAGCAATCAGGACATCCCATTTGTCACTGTCCACTGTGGAAGGGAGAACAAAGAATACAGGGGACTAAGGTCTACACCATTCCACTTCATCCAGGCGTGGCCGACTCCCCTATGTCCCAGGACTCAAATCCAGGTTCCCGTCTCAACAGGATGCACAAGATTTGTGAACTGAAGCAACCCTCCCAAGACCCTCCGTCTTGTTCAGGCCTGTCCGTGGCTCTGTGCTCACTAGTTGGGTAGAGGTGTTCCAGGATGCCATCATCCACTGTATGCAGGTCTTTAACATTGAAGGATGGGAAGAAGAATGCTTGGGAGAAAGCTCCAGGGAAAAGGTCTTTCCAGGTATCATCTCCCATGAAGACCACACGCTTTCCTAAAGGGACAGGAAAGCGAGTCATGGAAGCTAGGGGAAGACGCTCTTTAAAGACCTGTCAGGAATCCCAAACCTTAAATTATAACTAATTCACTAACACCTGATCTTTCAAGGCCTCAAATTTTCCTTCAGAAAGCTAGCCCTGGTAATCATACTCTATTCAGATCCATCATGCTTCTGTTAAATGCTCTGCTTGTTCTATCCATGGTTAATGCTGCTGCGGTATCCTGTGTGTACCCTGCTTTCCTGAGTCAAAGAGCATATGTGGAGAGGCCTCAATCCCTCTCCTCCACACTTTTTTTTTTCCTCCACACTTTTGAGGGTACCAGGTCAATGTCTCCTTCTCTTCCTCTCTCTTCTGCACTCTACTGAGGACAGTTACCCAAGAGTAAAACCAACACTCCACAGATTAGAAATTCCATAAAGACAAAGCCCAGAGGCCCTCTCTTTTTTTCCTCCAAACTGAGTGCCTTGGATACAGAGCCCTATTCTCCTCTCCTGTCCCTCTGTCCTAACACAAACAAGGCACTGAGCACTCAAAGGCTCGGCTCCCTGACTACTTGTAAAAGGTTCTCCTGGTTCTAAAGGCTTCTGGACTGACCTGTACTGATGAGCTGCTTAATGAGATTGTCTTCCTCTATGGCATAGGTGCCAAAGTTACTGCCAGCATCAATAAAGGTAGGCAGTGAGCCGGTGGTGAGGGCCTTGAGGCGCTGCATGGTGGTGGTAGGAGGGTCAACCTGGGATCTATAGAGCCGGGCATGGTGAGGCCGAATTTCCAGGATCTTCTGCAAGGAGCTCAGTTTGCCCAAGAAAGGCAGGGATACAGGAGGTTCCCCAGGTACGTGTGAGCCTTGGGGCTGGGCAAAGTCAAACCGCAGAGCATCTATCAACACCAACACAACTCGAGAGAAGCGGGAAGCCATCCAGCAGGCTCCAGGCTCCCCTCGGCCCCCCCAGGGCAGGGGCCCAGGGCCTGGGGGCTCTTGGCAGCTGCTATGGTTTGTGAGCTCCAGACGGGTGAGCAGGAAGCCACTGGTGAAGAGTGCAATGCCAGCATAGAACAGGAAGCAGACCCAGGCCAGGAAGAACAGCACTGAGACTTTCTGCATTCTGCTACGAGTTAGGGAGGGAATTCATCACTAGAAGGTGGGAAGAGAAACAGGTGGATATTCCAAGTCTCTTGATCCAAACAAAACCCAGCTAGAATTACCTCCTACTGGGAGCCTTCCTGAAGATAAACAGACCCAAGGCCACCACAATGCAATAGTCTTTTCAATTAGGTCTTACCAGTGTTTCTGAAGATGAGGTCCACAGAGTACCAGCATCAACCTGGAGCCGTTGTTCATGCTGCTTTCCAGGGCTCATCTCTGACCTACTGAGTCAGGATTATGGCTGTAAAGCACAGAAACTTGCACATGCACTCCAGGAGATACTACTATGCTGAAAAACACAGCCACGAGGCAAACTTTTCAAGTGGCTGACGACTTCTTTTTTAACACGTTGCCGCAAATGACGGCAAAAAAAAAATGTGTTTCTAAGCACGGTCTCAATTTAAAAGTGTGTGGCTTAACACAAATTAAAAAAAAAATTTAAAAAATTGTATTTCTATTTATTAGCAACAGGCAACAAAACAAAATTAAGAAAACAATTTCCTTCATTGCACAACGTATATGAGTTCCTGAATGAAAAGCAAATTGCTCTGTGAATGCTCAATAACAGTAAGATTTTTCTAACAACAGCAAAATGTTTATTTTTGTTGTATTTGAGTGACATCTGCAAAGCCAACTGGTTTCCATTGAACCACTCATACATGTTTTGCTTTTCGGTATTCAGAACAAGACCCACAATATAATACCTCTCTTCCTACATTCTCCTGATTCTTTTTTCCTTTGATCCTTCTATCCTACTCCTTCCAGCCTTCGGAGTATTTGTTTTTTTGCCTAATTCTCTTCTGCCAAACTCAAACTCTCCCGGGGAGCGCAGGGCTCGCGAGCGCTGCGGAACTCGAACCCAGCGCCGCCTGGCGGGCACCCAGGGAAGCAAGGGGAGGAGACACGTTCCGCTTCCGGCCCGCCGCGGTGCCCGGGACAGCGAGGCACGAGCTCGGACACGGAGGCATGGCCTCCGCGAGTTTTCTATGAAGCAGTGGGTGCACGGGCCCAGAGGCCGTTGGGCCTCGCCAGGACCCACGAGTCCGGTGACTGTGCCTCCTCGGGTGGCAGCCTAACCGCTCTCTGGACACCCTGACCCCGGTACTGGCTGGGCACCTCAGGTTGGGTGGCCTGAAGAGCATCTCCTACTTCAGGATCAAAGGAGTCTGAGGAGGTTCTCGGGAGACCTTGGCTCACCTGGATCAGCGCCCGGAAGTGCAGCGGCGCCCGAGCCTTGGCACCATAGAGGTGCGCGAGTTAGATAGAACGGCCCTGTGCGGGCTTCGTCGCCATCTGCTGGCGCCTCCGAGAAAGTTCGGCCAGGCGCGTATGACTGACAAGAGGTGGAGGGTTGGATAGGAAATTAGAGCAATTTAGAAATTTGGAGGACAAGGGCCTGAGCTAGAAGATGAGTTAAGGAAAACATTATCTTTTGTACGTAAGACTAGGAGCAAGGTTTCTGGGCTCAAATTTGGCATGAACACAAATGACTCAAAGCATAGGCACAAGATTTAAGTAGACATTTCTTCTAAAAAGTAAATGCCCTTATTGGGCGCGTGAAAATATGCTCAACATCTTTAATCTGAAGGGAAATGTTGGAGCTACCATTTCATGCCCACTACAATGGTAATGGGAGATCTGGTGGGCTAGAGGTAAGGAGCCGAGATGCCCACTCAAAGTCACCGTTTGAATCCAGCCGCAGTTTGGCAGGAGAAAGATAGGCAGTCTCTTCCTGGGTGATTTTACTGCCTCTGGAAATCCACTGGAGGGTAGGCTATGAGTTGGTTCCAGTTTGATGGTATGTAACAACAGAACGGTGAGCCCTCTTCTCCTATAAAGATTTACAGCCTCAGAAACCAGATGCAATGCCATAAGTCTTCACAGAACCAACTCCACAGTAGTGAGTGTTGTTAGGTGCCTTTGAGTCAAATAGAACTCGTAGCAACCCTACTTCAGATCTGAACCCTGCCCTATTTAATGCTCTTCTCAGGATCTTGGTCGTGCTCAAGTTCACTGTGGGAGGTACCCCCTCAATCCATCTCATTGAGGGTCTTCTCCTTTAGAAGACCTTCTTTCCCAGCATGATATCTCTCTCCAAAGACTGGTTCCTCCTGAAAACACACCTGAAGTGAGGCAGTGTTTCACCATCCTGGCCTCTTAGAAGCACTCTGGTCACACTTTCTTCAAGACAGATTGTTTTTTCCTAGATTCATGGTATATTCGATACTTTTTTGCCAATTCAAAGGCATTAATTCCTTCTTTGGTCTTCTTTATTCATTGTCCAACTTTCAGAAGTATAAGAAGCAATTGGAAATGCCATGGTTTTGATCAGGTGCACCTTAGTCTTGAAACTGAAAACCATACTCATTAGAACTTGGGAGAAGGGGAGCTCTGGTGGCCTAGTGGCAAGAAGCTGCAGTGCAATCCCAGAGGCACATGGTTCAAATCCACCAGATGCTCTGCTGCAAAAGGAGGGACAATCTCCTCCTGTACCAGTCAGATCTGATTTGATGGTACACAGGCACACAAAAGAATAAAAAAAAAAAAAGAACTTGGGAGAGATCCCTTGATGTGAGATCTCCCCAGTGCAACACATCTTTTGATTTCCTGACTGCTGCTACTTTGGATGTTGATACTGGATTCCAGTAAAATGAAATAATTGACAACTTCAATCTTTTCTCCATCTATCACCATGTCGCCTATTGGTCCAGTGGTGAAGAATTCTGTTTTCTTGATATGGAGATGAAACTCATGTCTCAATTGTGGGTAGAATGGTTAAAATAAAAAGACCTGATAATAACAAGTGTTGATGAGGATTAAAAAATTGGAACCCTATACCCTGTTGGTAGGAATGTAAAATGGTGCAATTCTCAGCAATTCTATTCCTAGGTATATACATAGTAGGGATGGAAACATATCCAAACAAAATCAGTGTTCACAGTAGCAGTTAACTGAGCTAAAAGATGAAAGGAACCTACTTGACAAATCAAAACTCAAACAAATGGCCATCAAGCCAGTTACAACTCATATTAACCTTCTCTTGGGTTTCTGATATAGATTGGCCACCAAAGTTCTTTTCAGGTACATCCATACTATAGAATATTCAGTCCTAAAAATGAATTAGGTACTGTGATATAAACTAACCCTGAAAACATTATGTTAGGTCAAAGAAGCCCATAGAAGACCACCTGTCAAATAATTTTGATACATGAATACCTAAGTCTAGAGACAAAAATGAGTGAATAATGAGGGTGAGGATAGTGTTGTTTGTTACAGTGGATGGGGGGAAAGAGTAAGTACTTGCTAAAATGATGATGCTTATATGACTGAATAAAACGAACTACCAGAAGTCCACGCTGGGTTTAGAAGGGGTCATGGTACTAGGGATATTGTAGCTAATGTTAGATGGATCTTAGCTGAAAGCAGGGAGTACCAGAGGAATGTCTATCTTTGTTTCCTTGACTATGCAAAGGTGTCTGTGTGGATCATAACAAACTGGCTGATTCTGAGAACGGGAATCCCAGAACACCTGATCATGCTAATGCGAAACCTATACATGGACCAAGAGGCAGTCGTCAGAACAGAGCAAGGAAGCACTGCATGGTTCAAAATTGGGAAGGGCGTACGCAAGGGATGTGTCCTGTCTCCATACCTTTTCAAACTATATGCAGAAAAGATTATCTGGGAGGTTGGGCTCTATGAGGAGAAATGTGGGGTCAGGATTGGTGGAAGATCTATCAACAATCTGCGTTATGCAGATGACACAACCTTGCTTGCTGAAAGTGAGGAGCACCTGAAATGCTTGCTGAAGAAGGTCAAGGACTGCAGACTTCAATATGGATTGAGGCTCAAAATCAAGAAGACAAAGATTCTCACCACTGGACCAATTGGCAGCATCAGGATGGATGGTGAAGACATTGCGATTGGTCACAGCTCTAACCAGCTTGGCTTCACAGTCAACACTCTTGGCACCAGTAGTCAGGAAATGAAAAGACATATTGCCATGGAAAAGTCTGCTGTTAGGGACCTCTCCAAAGTACTGAAGAGCAATGGTTCTCTCTGGAGATTAACGTGCATCTGATACAGGCTATGGTCTTTGCTATCACTTGTTATGCATCAGAGAGTTGGACAATGACTAGGCAAGATAGAATTGATACCTTTGAGCTGTGGTGCTGGAGAAGAGTATTGAGGGTACCATGAACTGCTAAGAAAACAAACAGATTCATCCTGGAGAGGGTTAAACTGGGCTGCTCCTTGGAGGCAAGGATTCTGAGGCTTCATCTGACATACTTTGGACATGTTGTAAGGAGGGACTGGTCTTAGGCGCAGGAGGTGTATTGATTCAGTGACTGGGGTAATCGGGATGGATGTATCGGAGACAGTGCGATTGACCCAGGACAGAGCAGTTTAGGGCTGTTGTACATTGGGTCGTTATGAATCACAAGCAACTCGACGGCACATAACAACAACAACAGCTACCCTCTAAATGAGCAGAGGTTTCATATGTGAATTAATGTATCTTAACAAAAACAATTTTTGGTGAATTGGTTTTGACTCGGGATGACCTAGCATGTTACAGAATAAAAACTACTCTCCAGGGTGTTCATGACTATAACCTTTTGGAAGCAGCTCACCAGGCATCTCAGTAAAGCCATTAATTAAAAAAACAAACTTCTCCCTTGGTTTCTCATTTCATTAGAAAAGTCCTACATGTCTACACACTAATTTCTCCCTTTCCTCTTTGGTCCATCTCAACTGCTCCTCTCCTTTCTTACCTACTCCATTCACGCATCTCATTTGCTCCTCCAATTATAAGCCAGGTATGCCCTACCTTTGGGCCTTTGCCCCTGTCAGCTTTACCCCCAGATATCGAAATAGGTCTTTCATCTCCTTCATATTTAGGCTCAAAGGTTAACACCAGTGACGCTTCCTGCAATCCTGCACTTAAAGAGATGGGGAAGGAGGTGGTGGTGATTTTAATGACTTTCAGAGCATTACTGATTAAGGATCCATGACTTGTCACCTTAAAATACAATATAAGGTCACTGAATGCAAGGTATGTTATTTTCTTCTTTACAGAACTCTGGTGGAGTAGTCTGTAAGGAGTAGCAATATAACCCAAAAGCTATGCTTCTGGTGAATAGATCGATTAAGAACTAAGGCAAAAATTCCCTTTATCTCCACCTTCTCATATTCTCCAGGATCACTAAGCCAGCCTTTTTATATTCTACAGTTTCTTCAAATCCCTTCTCCACATTATGGCTGGATAGCTCCATCTATAACCCCAGTATGACTACCTTAATCTTAAAATACCTCAAGGGAAGGGGAGGAAATCTCTATTATTCTTGCTACTCTAAGGATAAAGTCTACTCTTTAGTAGGACCCTAGCTCCTTATGATTTGGCCTTTGCCATATAGGCAGACCCTGTCTTACAACTCGCCCTGTGACCACAACTCTTTCAATGTTGTCAATTTTCCTCAAGCCCTAAACCTACCCTACCTGAGTACTGCCTGTTTTCAGCCAGTAAACCCTGCTGTTTACCAGCAGACATCTTCCTCCTCCTCAAAGCCCTCAGCCAGAACTTTCTTTGCCTGGCTTCCCTTGTATTCTGTGAAGGCAGAACCACAGGGTCTCAGTTGTTCCTCATGGTTGGTATCGTATCATTAAATATTTTCCAATCAATCTATAAATGAGGAGCATTCTCATTCCCAGACTGTGAGAACATTCCATAGTACTACCCTTCCAAGGCAGTCTTCCCTTCCATAAAAATCTCTACCGCCTGCTTCAAATACATACCCCTAAACTTCTGGTGGTAAGTTGTGCTGCCAATCCAAAGGCACATAGTTCGAATCCACCAGCTGCTCTGTAGGAGAAAGATGGGCAATCTCTGTGCAGTTAATGCCTCTGAAAACTTTCTGGAGGATCAGCTATGAGTCAATTCTGACTTCACAGTATATAACATTAACAACAAACACCTTAGCAGGAGGGGTTCGGAGGCAGGTGATTCAATCCTTCCTGCTATCCCGGAGCTTCTCCTGAAGACAGATGACTTCACTTTATGTGAGATTCATTCTTCTCTTTAAGACATCATTTCATAAGTCCTGATAAGGCCAGAAGATGGGATGAACATCCAAGGAAAATGCTGATGACTTTCCCAACTTCACTTCCCAATCAAAGAGGATAATACCTAGTTTGCCATGGTGAGTTTATTACATGATTAAAATTTAAACTGAAACAAAAGAAAACAACCCCCAACAAAAAGCCAAACAACAAAAAAACTACAATGTCAGCTGGGAGGCCAAAGCCAAAGTCTGGGTGTCACTTCTTGGTCTCCAACCTCCCTAGCCAAGTCCAGCTCCACTAACTCAGCTTGACTCGCTCAAGCTCTTCATCAAGATTTGCATCTGTTTGCTGAACATCTCTCCTTCCACTGGCAACTGGATCCTGGGGCCCTGGCGCCTTGGTTAGTGCTCCATAAACTCCCATAGCCTGCGAGGGAGAGAGAGAGAGAGAGGAAGAGTGAGCCCTGAGGACACTAGGCAGAGAGCAAGGATGAGACTAAGGAGCGTGGTTTTCCTTTCTCCCTATTTCAACTTATGTCTTAAAAGTTGTAGAGTGGCTTCTAGTAATCTCAGAAACTAAATCTTCAAGAACAGAACCCTTAGATTGCTACGACAGCTGTCTGGAGGGGGAAAAATTGTTTTAAGCTCTTTTTTTTATCTTCAGGGATGAGATGAGGTGTCTTGTTTACAGAGATCTTTCTCTACAGGAAATGAATGAACGATCCAGGGCTTCACAAGTTCTGAAGGCCTCAATAGTTTAAGTGGTGATGGTGGTTATCTCTGTCCCTGGCATTAATGTTTGTGCCAGGTCCTCAGGGCCCTCTTACCTGGGCCACCATACTGGTAACATCTCCAGGATTGGAAGGCAGCAGGATAGTGTTGGAGTCCTTAGCCAGTTTGGAGAAGGCGCTGACGTACTGCTCAGCCACAGTAAGTGAGGCTGCTGCATCTCCATTCTGTGACAACAAGAGAGATAAAATCAGAAATCACAAATGTAGGGAAGAGAGGACAGGCTTCTAGGGATAGGATGTGCAAGTCACAATACAAGAGACATTGTCATCTGGGTCAATGGAGTTCAAAGGCAGAACAGTCACTAAAGCTAGATAGATGAGAGATCCTTTTGCACTGTTAAATTTGTGATCTATGCAAGTAACAAATGCTGGCATTGTTGTGGAGAAACTGAAACCCTTATTCACTGTTGGTGGGAGTGTAAAATGGTGCAACCACTATGGAAGGCAATATGGCGCTTTCTCAGAAAGTTGCAAATAGAGATAACATTTGACCCAGCAATTCAACTACTGGGAATATACCCTAAAGAAACCATAACTGCCACCCAGGCAGATACATGTACAACCATGCTTACTGGGGCTTTGTTCACAGTAGCAAAGAGTTAGAAATAACCTAACTGCCCATCAACAAAAGAATGGATAGAGAAGCTGTGGTACATTCATACAATGGAATACTACACTCCATTGAAAAACAAGGAACTCATGAAATAGTATACAAAATGGGTGACATTATGCTAAGTGAAATACCTCAGTCACAAAAAGACAAATACTGCATAGTGCTACTGTGGTAAAACGGGGCTGACATGGGGGTTGGAGGGAGACTGAGAAAGATAGGATTGTATATGAACTGTTTAAAGGGATATATGATTAGGTATTATTGTCATGACATGAGTCCAGAATGAAGGCAGCATAGTGGAGTGGACTTGGGAGGAGGGACTGTGTAATAATGGAAGAATTTTTTTTACTTTTCAAAGAGAAGGGCTAATGCGGAGAGGGGTGAGCAGGGAGAAAAGTGCAACAATGGATGAATGGAAATCCAAAGTGTCTGTATACTTTCATTAAAATTAATAAAAAAAATTTAAAAAAATTAAAAAAGAAAAAAAAATTGTGATCTCCACTCAAGGGTCTCTTACATGTTGCGTCAGAGCTGCAGCCAAGATGCGAATAGCTTCAGCCTTAGCCTTGGCCTTGGCCAAAACGGCACTGGCCTCCCCTGGAAAAAAAAGACAGACTGTGGTATCCTGAAACACCTGTTCCATCACCAACTCTCAGAACCCATAGCGTGCTCCTCCCTCAGCCTCTACCTCCTGCTGACCTGCTGCTTGATTTATCTGCTCAGCTTTTTCTGCTTCAGAAGCCAGGATCTGGGCTTGCTTCTTCCCCTCTGCCACATTGATGGCTGATTCTCGAGTCCCCTCAGATTCTAGAACTGTGGCCCGTTTCCGCCGCTCTGCCTCCACCTGGAAAGCCCCAACAACCCCATCGATAAGAAGTCAGGAGAAACTCCTATACATACCTGCAACTATGTTCTTCACAATATCGGAAGGCGAGTCTTGGTCCTGCTAGGACTGGAAGACCCCAAGTTGTCTTCCCCATGTGTCCTTGGTCCCCACCTGCATCTGCATTGACTCTTTCACACGGGGTGGCACATGGATATCCTTGATTTCATAACGGAGGCAGCGAATGCCCCAGCAGTCGGCAGCCTGGTTGATAGCATCCACAATGCTGGCATTCAGGGACTCTCGCTCCTAGAAGAAGAGAGGTGTAAGCCCCATGGCCTCAGCTCATCACCTAGGGGCCTAAACTGAGAAGTGTTTGGGGCTGGTGATGATGCTCAGGAATGAATGAGAGTGTTACCCATGTGTCTTAAAACCCTTCAATCTCTCTCTCAGGGAGGAGTGATAGGGAATGGCAAAGGACACACCGACAAAGGAGATTAATCAGAACTGACTTTGACAAGCACTGTGGCAATTGGACAATTAAAACAGACATTCGGATGGCGGGGGAAGAAGAACAAACTGGGGAGGAGGGTAGAGAGAATGGTGCGGCAATGAAGGAGTGAAAGCCCAGAATCCCTGTGAATGTTCATTGAAACTAATAAAGTTTAATAATAATAAAAAAAAACAAACAAACCCTTCAATCTGGTTCAGGTCTCCTTACCCGAAAGACTTTGTCCAGGGAGAGTTTGCCAAGTTCTGATCTCATGGTTGTCTGTGCTAGCTGGGTGACAGCATACTCGGGGTCTTCCACGCCGTAACTTGCCTGAACGGACATGAAGAGTGTAAGAATACTGGGTATGGAGTTTTAGCAAGGAGGGCAACTCAGGAGGCTGAATAAAGCAGGGACCTGGTACCTTGTAAGGGTCCATGATGCGCAAGTAAAGGACTCCATCAATCTGCAGAGTCACGTTGTCTATAGGAGGAGAGACAGAGGGGAAAGGTCAGGCCTCCAGGTTCAATTGGCTCTTTGCACCAAGCGTTCGATCTCCAGCAACCACATCCTAATGGTCTCAGAGCACCCGGGTCACCCTGAGGCCCTCACCAAGAGTTACGGCTGACTGCTCAGGCACGTTGATGACAATCTCCTTGAGACTCTGCACATATCGGATCCGGTCTAACACAGGGACGAGGATGTTCAAGCCCTGGGAAGAGTCATGGTCCTCAGAGGGATGGGGACTATCGGGTTGGGATCTAAACTAGGCCTGGAGTGAACTGAAAATCATCATATGAATATTCCCAGAAAAGCAACAGCCTCAGCTTAGAAATCACAGAGGGTTAGGACTGGCACCAAGATATCAGAAACGTGAGGCTGTCTTTGACTTGAGGGGAAGAGTCATGGGAATAAGAGCCAACAAAACAGCAGTCTCTAAGCAAAGATGTGGGGCAGTGGTAATGGCAGAGAGATTCCCACGAACGGTGCCAGTGGGATGTTAAAGGCAACAGGAAAATACAGCAATATGAGGATGATAATCTAGTCTCAGGCCTGCCAGATCTGGCCTGGGTAGGTTCCAGAAAAGGAATCCCCACCCCCAGACACCCTGAGGGAATCAGGCATCAGATGGCCCCGAGTGGGTTAAAGAGGCTCTCACAGGCTCCAGGATCCGGTGGAATCGGCCCATTCGCTCCACCACCCAGGCCTCCTGCTGCGGCACAAACAGTACCACGGTGTTTCGGGGCAATCCTGAGGAGGCACGCCGCGGAACGCGGGTGGGAGCCCGCACGGAGCCCTAAAGGGAAGATTAGGGTGAGCAGAGACCCCAGTCGGCAGGACTTCCCATCCCCCTTGCCGCCGGCCCAGAAGGCAGCTCCCCAAGACCGGACCCTCAAGGCTCCTCCGAGGGATTCACGTGGGAGGACCATGACCTCTCGCCCCAGTTCTCTCCCCAAACTCAGAATCCCGATCTTTCTTAGCTGAGTACCCATATTATCTCTGACTCTATCCCCTGCAACCTTGCTCTCACCCTTAATAAAAGGCCCGCAGTCTCCCGCGCCGCGCGGGCCAGCATTTCCCACGGACGCAGAGACCTCCGGAACTAACGAGACGCGGAGCAGAGCGGTCCCTTTAGAGATCCGGACAGGAGTCCTTCCCCTTGCACACCCACCCCCGGAAGTACTTCCGGCCATCCCTTCCCCCACACTCAGACAATTAGGTGCTTGGTAATATGTGCGTAAAGTTGGTCACTGGGACAGCTGACCTTCCAGAGATACCAGAGTTGGAGTTTGCTTGAGCCCAAGATCCGGGGCACAGTCTTTACACTGAAGGCTTATTCCCACCGGCATGTGGTCCCAGAACATCTCCCACCAAAGCTGGAGTTTACCTTCCTCAACGATTTCTTGCTTGCCCCGTCTGTCACCATAGAGACCAGGGAACTGCAGCTGACTCGTTGCCATGGTTGCCATAGTGACATTCTGTGGTAGTCCTGCTGTGTTGTACCCAGCCCTCCCACTGGGGACTGACCCCATTCCCGTTACCATGGTGATTGGGCTTCTTATTGCCCAGTGATTGGGCCAAGATTTTCCCCTCCTCTCCTTTGCCAAGGCACCAAAGCCCTTTCCACAGCTTCCACATCAGGGTCTGTCAGACTTGATCCCCTGACATGTAAAGTCCAGCACACAGCCCCACTCTGTACTCATTCATTCCTGAGCATGTCACTTAGCACACATCCTTGATGCCCTAGCACATGCTTGAAGAGATCTGCCTGGCTAGTCACGCTCATTTTATATGCGGGCATTGAAGCTAAAGGAGTCTGAAGTCATTAACAGAATCAGTGGGAGAAGCCAGATCCATACTCGAGTCCGTTTCTCTGGCTCACATAACCACATCCCTTTCCCACCACCTCAATTCATTACCTGAAAAGAACAAGTCAAGACCAAGATCTTTTACCATCCCTCTGAGAGAAAATGCAGAGTCTCAGCTCCAGTTAGGTCCTTTACCCCTCTTCTCAACATTTTCTCCCTCAGCAGATAAAAACAGGGCTTAGTTCAAGTTTTCAAACAAGAATTTATTCTTTTTTTTCCCCTAAAAAAAAGTACCAGGTACAATTTTTTTTACTGTTAATTTTCAAGTTTCAGCAAATGCTTGTTCCCCTCAGCCCAGCCCCAGGAGTCAGTACTGAGACTGGATTGGAGTCTGGTGTGGAGAATTGGGTAGATGGGAACCACATAATTGAGTTTGAGGGGTGCCCCTCACCCCAGCTGAGGTAGGTGGGTCAGAGTCTGGCCAGGTGAGAGGAGGCACCCCCATCCTTAGCCCTGACTCTGCTCCTTGGATACCTTCCTCAGTCAGGACCCCAATGCAAGGAGATCTAGGCAGGAGGGGAGGGACAGCTGGAGTGTAGAGCCCTAGGTGAGGGGTGATTAACCCCCATGTGCACAGGCATGCACGCAATCTCTCTCTCACACACACACACACACACACACACACACACACACACAAGCTTGTGCACAAGTGCACACAGGTAAGTTGGCTTTCAGAGATGGGTTAGAGGGTAAGAAAAGTGAAGGGAAGAGAGAAGGACAGGAGAAGCTGAGTTTTTGGCTAGTTAACTCAGTCCCTATGGAATAACCCCTCTGCCCTCAGTTGAGGGAGAGCAGTTCTTCCCCTGCCCCCACATCAGCCTCTTCAACTCCTGAGGTTGGAGAAATATATGGGAGTGGGAAAGGAGGAGGGGCAAAGCCAATTATCAGGTTTGGGAGGTCACCAAGGCAATCCAATTTGAATAAATTATAAATTAAAAATAAATAAGGTAATAAGTGGTCCCTGCCCAGGACAGGGAGGCAATGCTGGCATGACTTGCCTGGGAACATGGGACAATCTCAGGGTAGCTCTGGTTCCTCCCCACTACCTAAGCTGGCCTGGAAAACCCAAGGAAAGGGACAGGCACAAGGACCCAGAGTAGGGCAGGGTGTGGGAGGGATCAGAAGCTTTAAACACCCAAATAATCAATTCGGGCATGAGCATGGCGAGAGCTTTAATTCAGGCCTGAATGGTCTCTCGCCACCTCTCCATGTGTCTGCTCTGTCCAGGATGGAACAGGAAGGGCAGGTTCTTGGCCCACGTAGGTCCAGAGCACTGGCAATCAGGGCAAAGGTGAATAACGTGGATTGTGAGGGGCTTCAGTCACGGCCTGCAGTTCATAGGGGAGCCCTGTGTCCAGCTCCAGGCTCCGGCGGGAAAAAAGCAGACGGATGTCTCTATGCAGGCTTAAGCGACCTGAGCGGGAGCTCCGGAACCTGGAGGAGGACAAAGTGATCAAAGCAAGAATCCAGACGCAAGGACAGATTCCATTCTGGCAACTGACACATGGGCTTCTTGAGTTCTCTCTGGGTTCTGTCCTTACCTGAGGTGTAGCAAGTAGCAGAGGAGGCGGCGGGTGGGACTAGCATTTCCCTCCTCACCCACAGGCACCAAAAAGAGGCGATGGCGCAAGAAGGTCATGTGGGCAGCAGGCATGTCAGAGAAGTCAAAGGTCACGAGGAACATCTTCACTACAGTCTGGTTGGGGTTAAATAAGGTCTAGAGACAGGATAAGCAAGGTTGGTAGGGCCTGGGGGCTGTTTCCCTCCCCCTCAACCATTGTGCTCCCATAGAAAACTCACCACTTGGATGGTGCCCGCCTTGGGCACACTGTAACCCTTCCTCCCCAGGGGGTTCAGGTCCACGACACCCTGGAAAGGCCATGGAGCCATCAGCCAAGGTAAGGACTGGAGGCCCTAAATGCTCACCCTTTCCCCAACCTCTCACTCTACGACCCACCCCTTGTTCTACACTGGAGTGTTTCCCACTTGGTCTTAACTCTCCTAGATAAACACCTATGGAATGTATCCTACTCTTAATCCTACATGTGGCTGCAAAGCTGTAGCTGTCAGGACATACCAGGAAAGGAGCCGGGGCATTTTGCTCAGAAACATCAAAGAAGGTGACAGTGACAGGCAGAGTGACATGTTGGGGACAGTAGGACCCACTAGCTCCTATCTCTGCTGTGAAACCCTCAATGTGGCCAGATGGTGCAAAGCGTCCTCGAAGCAATGATTCCTGGGGATGGTTGAAGGAAGAAACACATTATGAGTAATTCCATTCTTTTCCTTACTTACCCAAGCCACCCTCCACCATGCCACTCTCCCTACAACTGTCTGATCACAGAGCCCAAGAGAAATTACCTCAAAGTTGCCCAGCAGAGTACGGCTGACGGTGGGGGTAGGAACGGGAGAGGCACTGGGGGAGCTCAGCAGGCCTGGCGCCTTCCGGAGGCTTCGAAGGGAACTCCTGGTGGGGGATGGGATAGGACACACAGTGGGTAGGCTTGAAACTTTTTGGGATGTCTGCTTATTATATCATTGGACTCCACCCTTTGGTTACAAACTGCCCCATTCTTAGTGACAGAGTAGTAAGAAAAAGTAGTCACTTACAGTTTCAGGCGACGGGCACCTTTCACCCTCCGCCCTATAGGACTGCAGTCTGTTGGGTCCTGTGGAGAGGAAATTGAGGGTGAGTAGAGACCACGTGTGTCTTTGCAATCTCTCAGAGGGATATCCTCCCCAGGCCTCCCCACCTTTATCCTCTCAGATATCTTCTAAAGAGTAGTCTCTTCCCCACCTGGCTTACCAGCACAGGCTCCTTGGGCCCAGGCAGCAGGTGGCTCCAGAAGTATGTGGCTTTGGCATCAGAACTGTTGGCAGCAGGAGGGTGGCCCAAGGCTCCCCGGCGCCTCCGAGGGGCTGGCCCCTCATCCTCAGAGTTGACATCCAGGGATTCTCCAGCAGGAAGCAGCCTTCGCTTGGTGGGGCAGGGGCCTGGAGGTCCAGGGCCAGGGGGTGTGTGCTCGGGACTGTGCCCATTGGCAGTGCCAGGGGACTCCCTAGGCCAGGGGCTGCTCCCATTGTCCACCCCAGCCACTGGGCTCTTACCCCCTATTTGTGCAAGACTGTGCAAATCAGTGTCAAGTGTGTACAGGTGGCCTGGAGGGGCTGGTCCTGGGGACTCCCCCAGGCAGCCCTGTCCCCTTGGATCTGGGGAAGCCCAGTCTCTGGTGTGCAAAGTATTGCAGGAAGCATTTGATGGGAGCCAGGGGGGGCTCTGGGCCCCTGAAGTCCAAGGTGAGGGGGAGCTACCTCCCTGTTCCACAACACAGAGGCCTCGATGGGAGAAATGTTGGCTGGCCACACCCAGTCCTAGCCCCAGTCCCTCAGGGCCCAATAGCCCCACAGTAGATGGTTCTTCAGGAGGTAGTCCCTCTCTGGCCCCCAGCCCAGGGCCTCTCTTCAGCTCCCGGGGACCCTCAGTGGGTGGGGCTGGCCGCTTCAGAGCCCTGTGAGGCTCAGAGACACCAGCAGGAGGGGAAAAGATGGATACCTGGTAGACCCCGGGGGACATCGCCCCCCCTGCTGGGCTGTAGCCCATGAGCAGGCCACCCTGAAGGGCTCCCTGCCTCGTTGGAGGCTGCGAAGGGCCAGCCTCTGGCTCTGAGGATGGAGACGGCTCCGCCTGCACGTGGCGCATGAAGCCCCCCTTGGGTCAGGGGGGCCCCCCCACACGGCCTTTATGCTGGGGCTGAGTTGGGAGGCCTGGGGACATCTGTGCAAGAGAAGAGAAGGTAATCAGGAGAATCAAGGAATATTCTTCACCCCAGTTGAGTTCCAGTTAGGGATCACACCCAGAACTCCTGAGAGGGTGACACCATTAGCACTGGTTTCTTATGGGACCTGTTCACACCTTCCTTTCTTCTGTACTCACGCCGATAAAGAGGCCTCAAGCCTAGCTGTGTGTTCCCTCTTCCTGACTGATGTATTGCTCCCCTAGTTTGCAGTCTGGTCCATGCCTGCTGCACTGGCAAGGTGACTGCCACCATTCCGTGCAGCTCTTGGGCTCAGCAGGGCCCTGAGAAGAGAAAAGATGTAAGTCAGGATCCCTGGAGGCTGTGGTCAGACCCCTCTCTAATCGTGAGCTAACAGAGTAAAGCCTGGGACCTCCTCTGCCTTGTTACACTCTTCAGAAACAGCTGTGGGCAGCCTGAACCCAAAGGGTGAGGGGGCAGAGCTAGGCTACCTGTTGAGTAACTCAGAGGCAAGATTTGGCTCAATGTAAAAAGGAGGTGGGAAATAAATGAATA